AGCTCACTAAATGTAAGCTTAGAACCAATCATATCGGTCATACTGGATATATCAATACCGTTACTATTTCTCCCGATGGTTCACTTTGTGCTTCCGGTGGAAAAGATGGAATTACTATGTTGTGGGATCTTAATGAAGGAAAACATTTATATTCATTGGAAGCCGGCGATATTATTAACGCACTAGTATTCAGTCCTAATCGTTATTGGTTGTGTGCTGCTACTGCATCTTTCATCAAGATTTGGGATCTTGAAACAAAAACTGTTGTTGATGATCTTAAACCAAATTTCACAGAAACTGGAAGATTTTCAAAAGATCCCGAGTGTATTTCTCTTGCTTGGTCACCAGATGGTACGACGTTATTTGCTGGCTATACAGGTAAATCTATCCTTTACACACTTTTTTTTTTTGTCTTTTTACATAATTACACATATAACATTTTTATATTTACTTGGTTGATAATAGATAATAAAATCCGTGTCTGGCAAGTTACCAGGAGTTAGTTATTGATGAAAATGACAATATTTATTTATATTATTTTCAAATATTATGTGTAGTTTTTCGAATGACAAAATTATACTGTGGTTTATTGTGATTTCAAATAAAATAAAAAATAAAAATGTAGATCATTAAATGCATTTGTACGTATTAATTTGTATTGTATTATATATTTAGATATCAGATATACTTACGTATGTACGTATACATACTTTCTGTATACAAACTTTCTGAAATTAACTGTCAATAGCAGATTTTGCAACTTTATCTTTCACCATCTTGCTAATATTGATGATGAGATATTCATGTATAAAAAAAGATGATGACAATTGCAACGTATTCATATGTCTGTCGTGTAACGTATTAAGCCTTTGTAGATAATCATGATCGCTTGTTTATGTTGACGTAAATGACACTCTTACGTATTTGACAAGAAATTTTACTTAAAGAGTTGAAATAATGTCTTCTCAAGGTAAAAAACCAGCATATTCTTTCTTTCATCGTAAGCAGTTCCAATGGATCAAGACCTTTCGTTTAATACTTCGCGTCATTTTATAAATAAAGAAAAAAATAAAATTACTTATAGTGTATATACGATCTGGGATTGGACCGAGAAACAACTTGAAGAATTACAAAATTTGTGGAGGTATATACATATAAATATAACTTTCTCGTTTAATATCTGATTTAAAACTTTGTCTTATTATAGGCCCTGCGAAGAAAAGTACGAATCGATTATAAAGTATATTCCGGAAAAACAGGTATATGATTAAAAGTATATTTAATCATATTTTGATTTATGAATTTGACTGTTTATTCTAATTACCTGAAAATTTTTTTTTTATCAGTGTTTTGAATTTAAGCAAAATACTCATGAAATTTTAGATGAATTGTAAATATTAACTTTGTTAGTTTTATGGTACAATGCTACATATTAGGCACTAAATATTAACTTAATATTATCTTGCAGACGCGATGCACTTGTGAACATTTTACTAAAAAAGGTTCGAGGTTTATTATTAAAATAAGCACTGGGCGCTTTCAAGCTGCTTCTGGTTAAATCAATGACCTCCTGACTGAAGATCATGATCGGTCATTTTATATTAAATTAATAGACAGCTTGAAAACACTCATTATGTATAATTTTTTTTTCGTCATTTATTTTTAGTAGCAATGATTATTTTATTTTGGTAGTCTGTCGATGCAAAGCCAATTAGTATGGTTCCTTACCGTTCTAAAAGACGTTCTAAAAATCCTGTGGACAGTACGCTTGTTGGTTTGCCA